GCGCTTGGTGGTCATTTTGGACCCCCAAGGACCCCTGTTTAGGACGACCACGCACAAAAAACTCGTTTCGCATCAATCAAAGGGTCAAGATGGGTCAAGTGAGGTTGAGGACGCTTGAGGTACGAGTATATACTAAAACCTAGACTTGACATGGCCGTCTGTGGCTAAACAGTTTAACAGTTGAACCCGATGTCCAAATCGCTCACAAGACCAGTCCTTCGGACTTGACTTTATATAACCAATTGGTGGTAACGAAGACCCTGCATCAGCACATGGATCAATATTCAGGGTCATTGAGGGTTGATCAAATCTTTCTGAGAGGATCTTCTTCATGGATCTGCCGAATGCATTTCTCCTGCACCGGCTCTTGAACGGCGTGCCGCATCGAAAGTCCCCAGCCTTGCCCACCGACGGCAAAACCCGTCCGAGGAACATCCTGGGGCGTGGCGAGGGGGGGGCACAAAGTCCTGCAGTGGTATTTTAGGTGTGTATCTTGGGAATACGGAGAACCCACCTGTTCGCCCCCCTGGAAAGAAAGGGAAAAGAGACCAAAAGCCTTTGGTATATATGCTGAGGGTGGCCACATCCGGAATTGTTCACCGCGCATTTTCACTTGCAAAGACCAAAAAACCCATTGGTTGGTGGTCTCCCTATTCAATTACACACCCTTTTTGTGTTTCTGACGAACTTCAGCGGGTTGATTATGTCGAGCTGATTGGGGCCCTGAAAGCGATGATCTGATGTTCTCTTTCGCGTAGAAGGATACATGTGCCAGTCGTTTCTCTCGTTGTATTTCACAGAAAAAAACATCCAGTCCCGGCCTATCCATTCCCCAATCAACACCCGGATGACAATACACCTCGTTGAGCAAGTATGAACAAGGAAGGAAACTGCCAGGGGCAACAGAAACTGTGCAGTTCTCGTGCCTGAAACTAAATGATCAAGCAGTTGGCAAGGAACATCATCTTCCAACCCCCCTTCATATTTTGTATTATGCTCGGGCACGGGGATGTTCATCAGAAGCGAGAGAACACAGGGATCAAACTCCTATTGAAGTAATCTTCATCATGAGACGCCATGCTGTGCTTAGGCCAACAAACGCGTCCGAGCATATCTTTGGTCTTCGAAGTCCGATTTTCCATCACACCGGCGTGGCGGCGTGGTCACAGCAGCGATTCGGTAATGTTGCGATCAGGTCAGCGGTGGAGTTCTGGTGCGATCGGTTCAGCCGTCACTCGCGGAAGTGAATGACCTGAATGAGCTAACCCATCCTGACCCTCTGAACCCCTTTAGTAAGACCCTGTAAGTTGGGGTTGTGGGGGTGACCCCTGGCAAACGGACGACAACCACCAATGACAGGAAGCCAAAACAAGCACCCCATGCTTGGGATGACTTCTTCCTTTCATCCCTCAGAAACCAGTCAACATGGCGAATGCTTAACACATCATAATAATTAATTACTGTGGAATACTATGGATGAGTTTTGACCTTCCAAACCAAGCCCCAAACACTTTCGAAGTGGTAAAAACAGCCACTTCTTGCCCCAGTGGCAGGTTGTAAGCCGTGCCCTCGTAGATGAAGACACCCAAGGTGACGGACATCGTCATCTGGCGGCGGCGCAAGAGAGAGGGCAGTGATGGTCGTTCGGCAAGCCGGTGAAAAATAACACTTTGGATGGGGATGGATGTCGAAAGATCCCGTCGTCCCATGTAGAGATATGAGAACCTTCGTACACGAATGAGTTTATAATAGTCTAAATGTATGTTTATGCGTTGAAGACCATTGCTTTGAGAGTCCAAACATTACCAACATGAGCCGGGGCATGAGGGACTTTTGAACACTCAAAGAAGGCTTCTTCCAGTTGGAAGCAACAAAACAGCACTTCCTGTGGAACAACCCCAAGGGACCAGGTGTTCTCTGTTTCCTTCGGTTTCCTTAGGGGATAGTGCCTCCACATCTCGAGGGGCTGTGATGTATAGTAGAGCCCTCCAAAAAACCACCAAAAATGCACTCAAACACCTTCTCACGGGAGGTACTTGGAGCCCTTCCGGCAACAATTCGTTCAGAATTCGTGACAATACCAACCGGCTGTGTCCGTTCCATGGAAAATCCCGAAGCATAGACTGGACGGTCCCAAATCCCCACTGGTCACCATCCATAGCTGGGGGCTTTGGTTGGTAATTAGCTCCAATTCGTAAGCTCAGTTCGTTGCATCCTTCGGGAGGATGAAGCAAGGATGTTTTGATGCCGTCTTTCCGAAGCTCCCAACCGTTGATCCGGTTCGCACACTGGGGTGTCAATGGTTGGAGCGAAGAATCAAGAGGCGGATGAAATGTGGACGGCTGTGGTATGCCATGGCATTGGAAGCGGACCTATATTGAGAGAACAAGGTACCAGGCTTGATTCGAAAGCTTCTTTTGTTTGGAGTTGATCTCAATTTCTGAGAAACAACCACCGTAGAGTGGTCCTGGGTGTGCGGTCCTGGTGGTCACCCCCTCCACGTCTTGCACCACGTCTGGAGTCCGGCGCCGCTGTTCTCCACAGGTCCTCGGTTGCCTGGAAGAACATGGACGAGCTCGTGGTGATGGAGCAGTCCCAGGTTTCATCTTTCGACTCCTGAAGCGATTTCACGTGGCTGGCGGCGCTGCTCACGGCGCTCTCCCACTTCCGGGTTCTATCTTTCGTCCATGGGCTCCAAGAAGGAAGACTTGGCATTCTGCCATGCTACAACAAGGACCCCCAAAAATCAGGGGGTGGTTTTCATGCACATCCAAGAGGCCATTCATGTGCACCCCGAATGGAGGCCCGGACTGTCATCTGCAGGAAGAAGAACGGTGCTGCCGGGTGCTGCATCGATTTGATCTATAGCAAATCGGTTCGAAACCGTCCGAACATCCACCCCAGCATCTATATTTACTTGCCTTTGAAATCCTTTGAACATGTCTCTCCTATCTGCCATGCCCCATGCCGCGAGAAACGCTGCTGATTCACAAAGAAATTCACAGATCCAGGACCACCTCACCAGGGACTTATAGAATCTTCTCTTGCTCGGACCTGTTCCAAGCCTGTTCCCCGATCTGCATCCCCCTGTTCCGACACACGCGCTGACCGCTACGCCCACCCAGCCGCCTCGGGTCCAGGAGCAGCTGGGCCATCGGACTGCACCAAGGGCCGCGCCTCGCTGCCGGACTCAGGACATCAGAGGTAAACAGGCATGCTATGGCATTGCTTCTTCTTGGGATTCAGATGAATAAGCTTAAGCTTAGGCTTTGGAAGCAATCAACCTAATTTGTGTGGCCCAAAGAAGCTCCAGTTGGATGATCGCAAGCCCAGTTTTGTCCAATGGATCTTGTTCATCGATCTTCACACTCTGATGGCTCGTGGGTCATCATTGCTCTTGCAAAAGCCTCCTCCTTCCCAACAAAAACCGCACTCACCTGGGTCGAAGGCTGGGTCAAAAGGACACACCCTGCTGTGGGTGAAGCTCCTTTTGGGCTGTACTTTTCTTGCGGACCACAGTGTGACCCCCCAAAACAAACCACCCCAAAACAAACCACTGATCAAAACCATCAGATCCAATTCTCAGGGTCTCTGGGTTGGTCTCCGTCCCGTCGACGCCCCGTCTGCCCCGTCGACGCCTCGGCGTCTCGTGCGGTGATAGGCAAGGTCCGCAAGGCCGGATCGGTGCCTGGAACGAGACAACGCCCTACCCCTCGTGGGGGGTGTGAGTGAAATGAGACCGGGCTTGAAAGAAAAGGGAATACTGTAGACATCTGTAGACTGTATACTATAATCAATACATATTTACACATATTAAGGCTGTAACACTAAAATCTTGGGAGTGGTTTAGATTTGAGAAGCAGTGTTGGCCTTTTGAGTCTTGAACAGGGAACAAGGGGGGCTTTGGATTTGTTCTATTTTAATCATTACGAATCCCCAGCCGTTCGTCAGTTTTACAGATTTTTACTGGGATGTCTTGGCTTCACTTCGTTGATCCTTCCCGTAACCCTATCGCTTTGGCTTGGTGTCCCTTGGCTCCACCCGTGAGGACCGGTCCACCGAATTGAGCGAAGGAATCCATGGACGGATTTCCGTCCAAGGGATGTTCACCCATCAAACAGAACGATAGAATCCAAACACACACACAACCAAATATACTGACACCATCTGACATCTAGTCTCCGTGCCTGAAGTACCTGGTTCACCAGTAGAAATACCAACCATTGGAACCGAACCCTACTAGGCAAACAGTGCAACACTTTTGGTCCCTCAATGGCCGCTGGATCTCTGCTCTCAACGCGGTAAGAAAAGCTTCACCTGTACAAAGCTCGCGGAGAGCAGGAGATTGATGAGTTGGCCATCTTGCGACAGCTTTAGGCCCTTTAAGTGGGCTACTGGTGAAGCAAGCGAACGTACGAAGCAAGCGAACATGGACAGAAGTGAAATCATCTCAATCTGTTAGGACATGTTCTATTGCCTCGTCAGTAGCCAACTTCAGTAAGCCAACTCAGTTTCGACACGCCACGTATTTGGCAAAGGGATGTAAAGGGCGAACATCAAAGGCACATTGATATTACGTATATAACACGGATAAACACCACATACGCGTATACACCTGACGCACACCAAGAAAATTAGCTGGACATACCCAAATACTTTCGTAGCATGACGTGAGCATTCTGACATTTTGGCCCAGCATGGCCAACGGCCTCAGGTGTGTCTAGTTGCTAACGTTCATAGTAATGCATGCAATGTCCTAGCCGTGGTTTTATGTTCCCACACGTGGGGAACAACCTGGCACGCTGCCCAAGAATCATATCGAGGAACCCACCCAGGGGTTCGACATTATTAATTAATTGATGGAGTGGAACTAGACCAATGTTGGTGATCGCTCAGGTGGCCCCTCAAATATCACATCTCCCCTGGAGAGAACACAAAGCAATGAATTCATTCATGAATTCATATTCGCTTGTTACTTCATGTTACTTCTAGCTGCTAGTGTCAGGCTTCATGCTCTTCACCCTTCAGTTTCAAACCTTCTTCGATCTTCGCCCCGGTCTCCCGGTTGCCCCGGTCCGGACGCCGGTCATGGTCCCGGTCTCCGGGTCAAAGGTCCGAGCTCGTGTGGCTGGAGGCGTCCCCCGTGGTCGTGGAGGCATCCAGCAGCGCTGGAGGCGCGCAGCAGCGAAAGCCCAAGCAGCGACCCTTGGCTTCGGGGCACCGGCCCCGGCGGTAGCCTCGGTCGACTCGTTTCTGGAAGGTTTGGGAAAGAGCAAAACACATGTGTGGAAGAAAAGGGGAGAAACACAAGAGGATGAAGGGCCAAGAAACTTCTAAAGTATTTTAAAGGTCATCCGGTCGACCGACTGGACTGGCGCTGCAGGTGGGTCATGGCCGGGGGCGATGAAAGCAGGACTGTTCCAGTCCGGTTAGGGGTTTGGTTCTGATGGTGTTTGTGTTGCTTTTGGAGGGTTTTCAGGGGATATCCCTTCCCCCAATGAGCTAACACAATCCCACTGCTTCAAAGCGTAGTTGCCAGAACTGTCATGAATGGGATTGAAGGGCAAAGGAAGAGCCATGGCGGCTTGCAAGAGCCATCGAGTCTCAACTGTCGGAGGACATTGGACGGTACAATTCACGCCAGATTGATGACACATGATGACAATGATATCACTGATATCACTATACTATAGAAAGAACCATGTATAATTTTGGGTCAAAAAAAGGGATCTTCGTTCCAACATGAAGGTCCATGCATTCCCGGTCGACCTAAAACTGACCTCTTCGCGACTTGGGCGCGGCAACTTTCACCCCACACAGCGTCCAAGTCGCTGCTCCGTGCCATGTGCGCTCCTCCAACCCAGCTCCCGCCGCGCTCGGAGCGTCGTATGCCAGCGCCGTCGTTCCAGGCGTCGGGAAGACGCGCCTGGGGGGTACAATAGAAGTCGGGGTCGTAGGTGTCGCGGCACCACTGCCTGAGCCCAGGAAGTCTCCACGCATCAATTCCATTGACCTCAAAGTTTAAACACCTAAGTAAAGTACAGGATTGCTTCGATCGAATGCCTGCAGATTCTCTGCGGGGTCCAAGAAATACTAGAACTCCCATGAACAACGTTCCATGGCAGAGTTTAGCAAAGTCAGCTCAGGTCTCTCAGCCTCTCTTGGCCTCCAAAGGTTCTTGACTCAGAGAAACCTGGCCCCCCCAAACCGCGGGGCCGAAACCAGAACTGGAGAGTGCTGTTGCTTCGTGTCCGGAAAATTCGGGTCGACCGTGGAAGAAGTAGCCCGAAGCGTGAGTGGTACGTGTTGCAAACAACAGTGGACCGAATGATCCGAATGTAGAAACCGATGGATACGTTTTGTTCGTACAGTGCCAGAAACAACTTTTAGGTTGAGTTTCTGCACCAAAACTTGTTGTTTCAGAACTCATACCCGTCCCCAACTTCCGTGAGAGAACATGTTGCCAAGCACAAGTGTTCTTCGACGAAACCAGTGGAACCAAGTGGCCAAACGTTCCCCGCCATGCCGCGAAGACCGAAAGGATTGTGTCCCATACGGAGGTTCACCGCTTTCAGCGGCAACTCCCGCAAAGGTTTGGAGTTCAAGGCTTCATCCGCGTGCAGGGTTGCCTCCCAACAGACCTGGGGTCACGAAACAGTGATGCAGGTCCAGTTCCTGAGGAACATTCATGTTCAGCATCGCCGGTATATTCGATGGTGTTTGGATCAATCAAACTGACCTTTTCCGTCCCAGTTCCAGTTGTTACCACCCTCTCAAAAACGAATTGCGCGGGCTCTCAGTCACAGCACTTCGAGGAAACTAGATGAAACATATGTTGCTGACCAAATCCATCCAACCAAGGACTCTAAACAGCAATGGCCAACCTTTTTTTCCATGTGTTCACATTTAGTGTGGGATCCCATCCTCCAAAAAGGAGTTGCGTCAATCTGCTGATAGGGTGTGTTCTGCTGTGCTAAGTTGCCAATCAAGCCTTACTGGCACCACATGCTGCCAAAGGACGTTGAGCAGCTCGGGATCAGCTTTGTCACCCCAAGGAAAGCTGCGGGGCGTCTCGCCGCGTGCTGCGTACTCCCATTGGGCCTTGCTGGGCAAGAAGCCAGCTGTGGCTGTCCTGATGCTGTGGTGCATGAAGCTCTGGCAACTCATGGCTTACCCCCTTGTGTTGCCGTTCTCCAACCCTTCTGCTTGGGGTGGTGCTTGGATGTATTCCGAGCGGAAAACATGGTCTAACTGCAAGTCCCCAGGTTCTCCATCATCTTTCACTGAAGTTGACTGCACGTAGCCCGCCGCGTGAGCGGCTGCACGCAGGGAAAGCGAAATGACGCGAAATGGCTGCGGCCACCTGCCCATGTGTTCCCCACTTGCACCGTCCATGCACGGAAATTAACGGCTTGCGGTTGCCGCAGCTCCTCATGATAGACGAGCCACTCAGGCATGGACATTCAAGCACGCTGCATTTCTTCAGTGACCACGGTGGTTTCTCTACTACGAACGGCAAGCGCATCTGGCTCTTGAGCTGTTTGACAATTGCGACAGCTTTTATGGAAAGAAACAATGCGACTGATGCCGTTTCAACCAACCGGCCGGACAGAGTTTCGGCTTCGACCGCTTCCGACTCCACCCACCACGTCGCGGGAACGAGTTCGACGTCTTCGGATTTCATCCGAAGACGTCGTGATCTGCTGCAACTCAAATCAGTCAACCAGAGGCGGAGTCTGGCGTTCGTTTGTCAAGCATTGGGCAAGCCAGGGGCCTGTTTGTAGGGGGCTTGGAGATGGACAACTCGGGAAGAGGAGGAAGATTTGGACCCCCACAACCACTGAGCTGTAGAGGAAAATGCTTTTCCACGGGTCAATGCTCATGTTAGTCTACAGGTGGGTAGGGAGTATCTTTCTGCCTTCGACCGAGACCACGCATCGAGTTGCCGAGTTGGTACTGGTCAGTTCCAGATGCATTGCAGCGCGACATCCTTCAGAACATCCCCCCAAATCCGCTTCTGCGTCCGATAAACTGTAGAAACAAACTCGAGAACATGAAACAGGAGCCAAGATGGAGTATCGGATGGAGACAACTGTTGTTTTCACATGTCTTCGGTGTCCCTTCATTTTCCATGGTGATTCATCCATGCACCCGGTAGATGCTGATCGCATCCCTCAGAGGGGGACAGCGGGTCGGGACCCTTTCACCAGCCAAGAAAAACACATGCCACCCTGGAGGGAACCTTGCACTCTTCACGTGACAGAAAAAACTGAACAACGCTTTCGTCACGTTCCTCCAATGGCGCCACGGTGCGTTGTTCAGTTTTTAAATCCTCCACGACCTCGGTCCAAACAAGTTTTCACACGTCCCCCCAAGTTCACTCCCCATCCGGGAGCCCCAAGGCCTACGGATGACACCGCGAGGTGCCCCTGTTCGATCGAACCGAGACACTTGTAGTCATGCCAATCTTTGCCATGCGCCCAGAGGGAGTATGCATTGGCACCATACCAGGAGACCAAGATCATGGGCCTCACAACGAGGGCCTCTGACCGACAGGCGAGACCAACCGTTCGAAACCGGGAGGCACCGGGATGATGGTCATGAAGCCATTGGGTGGAATAAAACAAAAAGGTTCTTTGCAACATCTGCCAACACAAAAAGTTGGAAACAAACTACATCCATGAGCATTTGCACGTAGACTATATATATTTTTATAGTCATGATCATGTTCTGTGTTCAATGGTGTTTACCAGGGTCCTGACGCACAAGCTAATTGCTTGACCACATACGGCACCTTAGCCTTAGACTGTACTCAGGCAACCAACCATCTATTTGGGTGCTCCAAAATTGCACTTACCCGTCATTCTGAGACAAGCTGATTCGAGTCGTGTTGAGACCTGGTCGAAAAACGCTGGCTTGGCTTTACTGGATTTCTTTTGTTTAAGTTCTGGCATTGCATGACATAGTAGACTAGAGGATTGTCATGTCCCAAACACACCATGTATGTAATGGTGGTTCACCTTGAGGTGGTCGGACCCGGTAGGCCATTGAGTCCACCCCATTCGTCGTGTCTGCGTCGAAAAACACAAATAGACAGCGCAGGCAAACAAGCAGGTGGCGCAGGTCCCAGGCATGCGCAGGTCCCACCCAGACGCCATTGGCGTAGTTCTTCGATCGACTCGAGACCACCCTCCAGACTCGTGACTCAATTCGCGGTGAGGCAGAAGCGTCGCCAGGGTTTCCGGCAGCGCTTGACTTTAGGTGACTTTAGCATTGGTTCAACAGGTCACTGCAAGTGTACCGGGACCACACACATATGAATTCAGATCGCGAGTCTGGACTCGAAAGAGAACATCTTCACACAGGAATGTCCTCTTAAGAAGATGCAGTCTTTGAATCTTCATCTATAAAGAGATTCACGAAGAAAACACGTGAAAAGCATTGAACAGCTCCTCTTTAGAGGAACATTCAAAGACGTCAACCTCACCAGACCATCTCCACATCGACCAAGGTGCCAGTTCACCGGCACACCCTCCTTCACTTCCCAGCGATTGCCATACCGGGCCACTGGCACCTGGGGCGTGGAATACCGAGAAGACCAGAGACCACAATGGGTTGGGTCGTGAGACTTTTCCTGCCCCTATTCGATCTCATTTTACTGCAGTTGTTCTTTAAAACATAACACAACTCGAGGAGGTAAAGAGCAAGTTAGAGTGGGTCTTTGCACTTGTAGGGCTGACGTTTTCCCAAGATCACCCGTGAGCCGTGAGCCTATTGAATCATGTACTCCATCACGCAAACCTAGATGGAGATTCAATCTGGGCATATCTGGGCCGTCTTCAAGAGTGGACTCTTGCATACTTTTTGCTACGATGTTCCTTCCGTGGCCCAGCCAGCACTGCTCGGGTGACCCATTGTGATCCGTCGCACGTCTTCCGTCTTCGCGACCGACTCTGAGGGCCTTCGATTAGTCTCATGTCGGGGCAACGCCTGGAGCTGTGAAGCAACGGATTTGGTGGAATTGCGTCGGTCTTATTTGGTCAAGACCTGGAGCCCGGTCCCCAGAGGAAAGTCATCTCCAGAACAAGGTGGCACCGCGGAACCACGTCCCAAAAGCACCCGCCGAACACCAAGCTGGCCACATGGCACCGCGGGGCTGGACCTTCGCAAAAAGCGTCTTCCCAACACATGCCCAGGCGCGTGGAGGTTCCTCCGATCGGAGAGTGGCAAGAGGCACCAGTCCAGTAGCTGAGCTTCAGTGGGTGGTGGAGAAGCCAGGTTCAAGAAGCGCACCTGCACGACGGCGCGAGGAGTGGCGTGGCGTGCGGGGACCCAGTGCTTTCGTTCCCGACACCGGCCGAACACTGGTCGTCCTGGCACAAATGGAGAGTCCAAGCACTCCTGAAGTAAGATTGGAGCTCAAGCACCAAGGAGTTTTTTTTTTCTCTGGAGCCTCAGTGAAACTTCCATGACTTCTCACCTTTGGACTAAGCAAGTTGCTGCTTTGGTGTGCTTGTCCACTAAGCGGCTAATAGTTTGTAATATACTAATTAAAAGTAAGACTAAGTTAGATGCTCCTTTGACACTCTCCCAATCAAGCAGGACTGACTAGTATGGAAGAGTCTGCCCATTACGGATGGTAAGCAACCACATCTACCGTGAGTTCAAAGGAATCTCAGAACACCAAGGCCTAAACTCCCCGCACGGGGTCGGTTTCTGTTCAATGGTCACTCCCTCTGATGGAGAGACCTTGTTGGGGATGTCGTGACAACAGTACTTTGTTGGTGGCAGGTGCTTGCATAGGTGAACGCACTCACCAACAGCGAACCCCAGACCTGATTCGCTTCTTCGTGACTGCGGGAGACCTCCTTCGTTCGCTCCACCCTCCTGAAGATGCCTCTCGCAAGCAAACATCAAGTGATTTTGCTTCTGAATCATGTAATGCTCAAACCTGTAGTTCCAAAAACCAACTCAACCACTTAGTTCAGTTACCCACACCAGCCATCTGACCCAAGTACCCCACAGATGGCGCTCCAAAAAGAGTCGAGTTTCGACTTCCCCATCCCAGATCCCCCCCCCCGCCCCCACGGGAGCGCACGTAAGCTCCAACGCTCACGGGTTCGATATCCATCAAGAAACTCTTGAGCCTCACCTCAGGGCTGGGTCCAGCTGCATGGTGCTGGGGCTTGTTGCAGGGACGGGGCCCTCTTCTTGAAGACCTCTGTGGAGAAAGATGGGAACCACCAAGCCCCTTCCAAAATGGATTGACAGGAAACTCTTTCAACTTGTATCATCTTATATCACTAGACCCCAGAACCCTCCCCCCCGAAAAAATTAACTTAGGAACTTCTCTGACGCTTTGACATGCCAGTTCACCAGACTTCGTGTGTTTCACCACCACCCACGGCCGAAATAGGATGAAATAGGCTGCTCCGGATCTCCACGACCCACGATCCGCCGGGGAGTTCAGAAAATGGTCTCGGAACGTGACACGAACGCGTAGTAGCGCTTTGATCGAGGTGTAGGACGGAGAGGATACCTTTCAAGAATGCAAGCGCCTCCACGACATGCGTGGCACCAATGTATGCGTCTGGCTACTCAACGAAGCTTTAGGGGATGGGTGCCCTCTCATTCTTAGACATCACGTTGGATCAAACAAGTACACATCCATCAGCCTCCAAAGTCTTCTAGAAGTTTCAGCCAACCTGCCCATTACTTAGACAAGCTGAGGGCTAGGGTCTCACTTGCGCACGCAAAAATCAACTCACTTGCGCACGCGTGACTCACTTGCGCACACCGACATGTTGCTGCATTGGAATGGCATCTTCCCCCTCTAAATTTTACCCTTGGGTGGCCTCGGGCGGCTCACAAAGGCATGCACCGTTGGAATGGCACCTTCCTCCTCCAAATTCTACCCGGGTGACTCACAAGGGTATGCACCGTTGGAATTGCACCTCCCTCCTCTAAATTTTACCCTCGGGTGGCTCACAAAAGGTATGCACCGTTGGACTGGCACCTTCCTCCTCTAAATTCTACACTCGCGTGGCGTCGCGTGGCTCACAAAAGGTGTGCAGCATTGGAATTATACCTTCCTTCTCTAAAAATTTTATCCTCGTATGGCTCACAAGAGGTATGCAGCGTTGGAATGCCATTCCAGCGGCGCATACCTTTTGTATCCTTTTGTGAACCACCCGCAGGTTCAATTTAGAGGAGGAAGTTCACAAAAGGTATGAGCCCCCGGGTGGTTCACAAAAGGTATGCGCCGCTGGAATGGCATTCCAACGCTGCATATACCTCTTGTGAGCCATACGAGGGGTACAATTTTTAGAGAAGAAAGGTGTAATTCCAACGCTGCATACCTTTTTGTGAGCCATGCCTTCTGCTCAAATCGTGTAACGTTCTGGAAAAAAACGTGACTGCGAACCGACTCGCAGAGCCAAACTGGCCTCCTGCGACATGTGCGAGAGCGTGTCCAAAAGTGGCCAGTTGCAGGCGTGTGAAAGGTTTCACGGCGGTAACGACAGCTTACCGGCTTACGAGGGAATGCATCCGTCTATGCCAGATTTGTGCAGAATGCCCAGTGAGGATTGTGTAGCTCTCCTGGTCAACCTACAAGCACAAAGCCACTGCGTCCACGTTGGAGAGCATAGACAGAACATGGCCTCCCCCCAAGCGACGCACTGTCAAAACAAAAGAGCCAGCCAAGCGCCACACAGATTCAATACAACTTTTCCTACATTTAGCTGAGGTCGGAAGCCTAGGGCATGTAACACAACCACATGTCCGTCCCATCCAAGCTGTGGCTGGCCAAAACCAAATCAGCGTCTGTCTCAACTGCAGGCAAGTTCTGCACCAAACAATCAAAGTCTGCCTTGACCCAGGTCACTGTCTTACGATCCCTTCTTTTCGATACCTCAAAATCAATGAATTTGTGCACGGTCACGGTTCTTTCTTCTGGCAAACGCAAGCCAAATTTTTCCCTCAGGTGATTCATCGCAGCTGCATTTTTGAACGGATGGTGGGATTTGACATACTCATCTACAAAGGCACCCTGCTGAGGTGTGAGCCCATCCCTGTCCCCGCACACTCCATCCCATTCACCATGAGCAGTCATCGTGGTGGCTCTCACAAGCATCTCCTTGTTCTTGTAAAGCACAGCGCCCGGCCCTTGCATCTCGTTCGTTCTTATTGAAAGAGAGCTGGCAGTACCTGCTCGGTGCACTTACGCTGTTCATGGCCCATGTCCATGTACGAACACGCTCCAGGGGCTGCTGCCTGGTCATCTCTTCGTCAAACTTTTCCTGCGTTCGCACATCCAGGGTCTTGTTGTCTGCGGGTTTGTTGAGGACACCCTTGGCGGCGCTGGGTCTTTTCATGGCTGCTCGTCGCACCATGTCTAAGATAGTTGTTTGCTGTAATAACTTTAGAGCTTGGAGAAATCCATGCGCCTGCATGGTTTGGGCTTTTTCCTTGCGGGAGCGTGTTCCTTCGTGCGGGTGATGTAGAGGCTTGCTGAGTTACGTGCGTGTGATGCGTCGAGGGTTGCTCAGTGACGTCCATTTGATGTCAAGGCGTGCTGAGTGACGTGCATCTGCTGTCTTAGAGCCAGGAACCGCACTCAATGTCCCATTGTTCTCTGCCAACGGAGGAGCGAGCCGCTTCCTGCAAACGCACCTCCTGCATTTACATTCTACATTAACAATAGGCGATGCGTACCACAGAGAGAAATGTAGGACGAAAGGAGCCCATGGCATACTGCGGGTAACCTTCAAGTTCAAGGTTGCAGGCGTGAAGGTTGTTCGCCCTGGTTCTTCTTTCAGTTTACAGGGCAACTAGACATACACATTTGCGAACCGTGTTGGACCCTCTGTCTACTATGTGTATGTCAAACAAATATGCTTTAAACATTGAACATATTACAAAGTTTACATAAGTTTACCAAAAATGCATGCGCGCAAATCCCCTAAGCCTACCTTGCCGGGGAGGGCCCTTGCAAAGGGTGCTTGTGCCGTCACCTCTGCGGTAGCCCAAAAAACAGGACCACTTGGCTGCTTGTTTTCTTTTGTCGACACACCAGTCAACAAAAACGCAGGAAGCTAAGCTTGTAAACTTGCGCACGTTCGCAAATCCGGGGTCTTGTTGCCTGCAGTTTTTTTGAGGACACCCTAGGCAGCGCTAGGCTTTGTCGTGGCTGCCTGTCGCACCATGTACAAGATAGAGGTTGTTGTGGCTGCCTGTCGCCTGCATGGTTTAAGCTTTTCCCCGGAGAGCGTCTCCCCACACGCATGTGAAATAGAGGCAAGTTCTGGGAGCTAGTTCCGGAGCAGGTTCCGGGGAAGGTTCTGAAGCAATGTCCGGAGCAAGTGCTGGAGCAGGTTCCTGAGCAGGTTGCTTAGCAGGTTTCGGGAAAGGGTTCCGGAGGTGGTTCTGGAGCCAGTTCCAGAGCAGGTTCCGGAGCAGATTCCGCGGCAAGTTCTGGCACAACTTCGAGGAAGTTGGTCAGGCTGTTTTGCTGAACTATTGTCACGCTGGCATTTAAGAGTGTGTGTGCAGGCGCACACTCCTCGAGAGGCTTCTCATCCTTCCAACTTGCGCGTGTATAAGATAGGTGTTTTCCGCATGCAGAAGCGAGTGCCATGCCTAAATTCGTCATCACTGCTCTTGACGGTTGCTCATACAGAATTCCATGTTGTTTCAGGATTTCCACAAGTGAAACACACATTGCACCACAAGTCGTTATCCCAAGTCACGCCTGCAAAAGCCACAGAAAAGAATCTACCTTTGCTCAAGTCCATCCAGTTTGGCACCCAAATCTACAGTATCCGTCCAGCTAGTCCAAGTCGCAGGATGTGTTGGCTGTTCATTGCACCGTGCGGCTTCTGCAGTGCCGCCACCGATGTGAACATCTGCGCTTGGGATCAGGATGCCTCACACAGGGTGCATGACGCGGTATTCTTGTCTTGTGGAGCACATGTACCCAACAAAAAGGACATACCAAAATGATAGGGTTGAATGATGTTTGAATGTCTGTTTCAGGCCAGTGATGTAGCATGTGACAGTCTCGCGTTTTCTCTTCAGATGAGGACAAACTAGCATGGCCGAAAAGCAACGCATCCTTTCTATACCAGCTGATGAAAGGGTTGTCAATCATTCCATATGGTATGGCAATGGCCAGCAAAAAATGGCACTGTCTAGCATGGCCACAGCCAAAACGATTGACTCCCACAGCTGGCACAAACCCAGCAGCACGATTTTATACCAGAGTGGAATGCCTGGGTCAGATCAGCTTAGACCTATGCTAGGTGGTCAAGCCCTGAGCCTGCCATTCGGAGCTACTTTACTGTTCTAAGAGGCTCTAAGTTCTTATTCTCATCATCTTGGGCCACCCCCCTTTTCACTAAACTTTTTGCACATGTTGACACCAACTGGATGATGAGCTAGCAAGTACTGAGGTAACTCCCTGTGGCTTGGAACGCCTCCCTGTTAAATGAAATATGGAGACCCCCCCAACTCCTTGCTCCCTCCGAACAACCGACTGTAGCGCCAGTGAGTCATCCAAATCGAAAAGGGTGAAGTCCTTCGACAAGCATTTTAAAAGGGGTTTACACATGTTTCAAGCTCCTAAGAAAAATGGTCTTCCCCACCAATCGATGCACCAAACAACACGAAGGCTGTTCAGAAAGAATCGTGTCTTACTTGGACACCTGGGCACAGGCGAGCACCATCCCTTGTTCGGGAAATTAAACATCACATACTGCATACTAAACCGATCCACAAAAACTACATTAAAGTGAGAACCATCCCCATCCCCCAAGCTCATTCGGGATCCACCGTGCTGCATTCCATGCCGTCGCTTTGCCGAACGAAGCGCTCTTCTATCCTGGACCGGCTGGGGTGACGAGGCATTGGTGTTTCTCTCCGCGGGTATTGGTGGGGGCATTGGTACAGGCAACTGAGGGCTGGTTAAGCTATCAATGGGGGTTTGTGTCACTTCTAGCCTACCACCCTAGGTCACCCGGTCACCCGAAAGGATGTGCCACATCTACACAAGCCACATCAAGCCACCCGATGTGGGATGTGGGACCTCATTCAGGGCGCATGAGAAAGAAAGATCTTTCCACCTCAGGTCGTTGGACCTTCCTGTCATGCAACAACATGATTTCTTAGGCCATCACGGTCTCCGTACTCCGAGTCTCAAGGTCTCCGAGTAGAGAGCATCCGACCAGCTTTTCGCTTTCAGCTCAGTCAGCTGTGTGAACGGCTGCAGTTCGGGCTTGAGCTCCGGTTCCAGCGTCGCGACCGGCTCCGCCCACGGTGCTGGCTTCATCGGTGGAACCTTGATGCACGGCGCCCGGCCGGCAGGGTGATCGAAACGCGGAACCGTGGTGGGATCCGACCACTACAGGTCTGTTGTGGCAGAAGTGACACTTATTGGAAGTCTACTTTGTATTGATAGACTGGACATAACCACCGGTTTTAAGGGGCTTCTCACGTGGAAGCCAACGGCTTCTCAGTGTATCGTCCTCATTCCACTCTTGGCCGTTTATGGTGTTATTCCTTTTGCCCAGCTACTCACGTGCGTCTCAAGTGCTTTATGGAAGAGGTGCCGAAAAAACCACTTCCATGTGATGTGTTTGCAGGGCAATCCGCTTTGGTCTTTTCGCTTAGTTTCTATCTTCTGCTGCATGATTCACTGAAGAGTAGCTACGGGTGTGACTGACTCCACCGACTGGTCGAAGCGAAGCCTGGATGGATGGATCATGAGTCTTTTCCATCCACGAACCTCGAAATGAACACACATGGGTGAGTTGTAGGTCACCATTGCTTCTAAACGTCTACGTGTCTTTTTTCTCCAAGAGAAGCATTGTGCGGCAGCCTAGTCTACCTATAGTCTACCTATAGTCTAGAGTCTAGATGGTTCTTGGATGTGTTTACCAATTTCTTTCGCCATGCTCGATGGGAGGACTTCCCTCTGCTTCGGGACATGAGACCCCGAAACGCGGCCCTTCTGGGGGTATCGAATCGGTCAGAGGGGTTCGATACACGGTCACTGGGCCCAGCCATAGTGAATCCAAGTCAGTCATTACATCTGACATGATCGAACCAGACTCCACAACACACATCTAGAATGATGCCACTGTAGATACAACGAGTGAAAAGTCTAAAAGCGTATTGAAACCATATTTTTTCAATTTGCGGACGACTATTCTGAAGAAAATGCCTCACACAGAAAGGAACAACACGAATGCTTGCTGGAATCATCCTGCATTCCCTGCATGAGGGTTGAGGTTGATTCATCTTTTCCATCCCACATGGGAACAAGTGGTGCGGCTAGTTGTGGTGCAAATTCACCCAACGCTTTGAGCTCGTTGATGGTGTTTCATTTTTCGACCTTGCTCACATCAAGACTCAAGACCTGCATCAAGACCTGGCTTTTCCCTTGGCAGCAGAAACAAAAGCTTCAAAAAGCTCCCGCACTGCAAGCACCTGCAAGCAAAAGGAAGGTACATCCTGAACTTGTCGTCTGAGTCCTTGGACATCCTTGGAACATGTTTTCATCGGCTTTCCAAGCGCAAAAACCACTGGTCGACTCAGTGGACAGTGGCTGGTCACCCTGGTCACAGGCGTCTTCCCATCGCCCTTGAACCCTGGGACGTCGGATTTCTGCAAACGCTCCAGCTGGTCATCTCCCTCATAGAGTGCTCGTGCCAGGCATTCCATGGTGGGATAGTCGAACAAGAGCGAGTAGTTGTTCCGCAAGTTCGGGAACTGTTCGACCATACCCATGCGCACCTGGCAAGGGATCAGGGCTGCACAGGGCTGTGATCAGATCGAGGGACTTGGTACTTTTGGTTCCCTTTAAACAAAAGACCAGATTTGAACGACCAACCAAACCCAAAGCAATTCTACCAACAAGGTATTTGGATATCTCAGGTGGTTTGGCTTGATGCCCTAATCAAGTTTATTGACTTGAAGTCGACAACGCTGCACAAACAAGTGATTTACAAGGAGTCCATGTTGATGAGCCCCATGTACTCAAATTTGTTTGCTGCTACGGCCAGCGGACTCTGAGCAATCCTTCAATCCTTCTTTATCTAGTCGCCTTGAAACAGAAAACATCTAGTTCTCGTCTTTTAAATCGCAAAACGATCTAATATTTGCACACCACAACACAAGTCAAAGCACTTATGTAATACGTGATATACTTCTTTGGCACAAACAAGTCGCCTGTCCGTTGAAAGTATACACATAATATATACATATATATAATTGATATACAATAGTTAAATCATCGGATTGATTTAACTCTTTTTCCTTAAACAATGGATCTCCGGAAGAGGGTCTATATAGATAAACGTATAATCATGTATATATATAGTATATATATATATGCTGTACATTGCTGTACTATTCTAGAACTTAGCACTGCGTTTCACCTTTTTGCTTTTGTCCAACGGTGCCGGCCGAAAACACCTCTGCCGTCCGACTCGTTCCCGGCCGCCACGGTGCTCAGCGAGTCCAGACATGACATCACGTGCTCGTGCGGCTGCAGCGTCAACGAGGGATCGCGCGGATCGTAGTCCTCACCGTGGGGATCCGCGTCGCGGGCGCGTCGCGCTCTGAGGGAACGGGAGGAGTTCTTGGTTGAGCAAGTGGAAGAGTTGAGCATGGAGAAAGAGCGGCCGCAGGGTCTATCCGGCGGAATCTCTGAATTTGCAGATATTGAACATTGGTCGGAACCATCCCAAAAGGGTCGGGGCGTTGTCATGAACCGTCAACAGGACTCAAAATAACAGTCCACAATGGGAGTCCACAAGCACCCTCACGCCATTGGCAGGTTGGTGAAAATCCAGGCAACCTGGCGATACCTGGCGTTCATATGCGTTCATGGAAAGGATTCTCTGTGCTTGTCCGTGGCTGAAGCAAAAAGGCATGGAGATTTGAAGGGACTTCTTTCCCAGAGAAGGAAGAAAGAAACCGACTTTGAAAGGAACAATAAATTGAAGAAGACAAGGAAAGGACAAGGAGCACGCGATGAACCATTGAGCGTTTCTGAAAACCTTGATGAAATCCCGTTACGCACAACTTGGATATGACAACACACTGAGTAAACATGAACACGGAGGTTTATCGAATGGCTCCATTGTTATTTTGGGCTTTGGATCGATAGAGCTGCAGGAGATTTGGGGCTTTGGATTGATGATGACTGATGGAGAACACGCGCCCGATGGCCATCTGCGAGAAAAGCACGACGCATCCGAAAGCGAAACACCCAAGCCAAAACCACAAAACACCCACTGGGTCACAGTGCCATGGTTACTGTGGCAGATTTGCTGCTTGGTTTCATGTACAGTATACATATATAATTATATATATACACACCATACCGTATTTTGATGTATTTTGCACTAACCATATCTATCACACCCTATCTTACGCATGATTTCTCCAACCTCCCCCGTGGGCTGAACGGAACCCCGACCGCACGAGTGAGCTCGGACGCCTCCATCGTCCCCCGAACGTCCCGCCGCGGAGAACTGGTCAACGCCTGCCTCCGTGAGCTCGAGCTTCGTGTAGCCTCTGGTGAGGTGAAGCGATTCCGGAATTGGTTCGCACATGTTCGCACATGTTTGCATCCCGACCCCCCCCTATCTTCCGGCCATTTTTGGGGGGTCCCAGAATGACCCAATGCGAGGTTCGAAGTGGTATGAGATGATAGGGAATGGCATGGCATGGATTGCAAGCAATCGATTTCTTCAGGAGTCCTTTCTCAGAAGGGGATCCTCCAGTGAGCCACCACATGTCGAACCTGAGAGAGTGGCAGTGGCAGTCGAGTTAATTCCATGTGCAGCCTTCTTATGATTTTCAATCAACCGTTGATTTAATGGGTTGAATCCCGAAACCATTGTTTTACTATTACCAAGGACTTTTAGACTACAACACCAGGTCAACTTTTATTTGAAAGGTCTTGGCTAAGGTTATGTTAAATTCTTCTCCAATTACCCACTACTTCAAAGCCCAACGTTAACGTCTTGGATGGTGTGGCACAAAAGTTTGTGCATCTTCCCGACCACACTCTCCTTAAACCTCCACAAAGCCATGGACAACTGCCAGCACCCTCCAACGCAATCACCAAGTCAGACCTGTTTCAGCAACATCGAACAACCCTCTAGACTCTAGATGAGGCCTCTTGGAGGGTGCCTACATGGTCCTACCACGTCCTACGACGTCGGAGACCGGTCCCGACGCCGACTCCGCCGAGCGGACCGGCCCTTTGGGGTCTCTCCGAGCGGCTCAGGTAGCGGTTGATCGCAAAGGAGACACGCTTTAGGATCTCCTCACGAGGTACGTGGTCACTGGTGAAGAGTCTTCTCAGAAGAAAGATGAAGAAAGGCGAAGGGCCGTCCACTGGGATCACCGAAATCCGTCCACTGCGATCCCGGGGGGGCCGTAGGGGTGCCTATTCTCCACGAACCTTGGGGTCTGAACACATCAACCACCGAAGGCATCCGACTCAGATGGACGGAGACCGGCGTCTTCTTGAAACGCGCTCTTTCGGTGTTGAGTCCCACGGTCACAGAGATGCAGTTAATAAGGCGTGGCATCGATCGTGTTCCAGGGCAAAGGCATTGAGGGCCTTCATATTGCCTTCCCACCGCATCTTAGGGCCCCTTTCAGCTGCTGAGAGGGTCGGCCTGTTACTGGTGTCAGTCCTGTCTATCATATCTGCTTGGTGGCTTTCAGCTTACCTGAAAACTTGAGAGAGGAGGGGGTGAACGAAAGGTAGCAGGCAATCACAAGTAACCCTGGTAGAAGTCCTTGACGGCGTGAACCGGCACAGGGTGGATTTGATCCAGGCCCCCCCACGACGAACAGAATCATCTCTTACAGGACCAAACTCAATGCACAATCCCAACTCCAGATTGTAATATATTTTTGCCAAAGCAGGGAGAACTCAGGTAGCTCAAGCTACCTTTCGTGAAGACCAATTGAAACTTGAAACATCTTGAAACCACCAAGTTGATCACCCTTGTCTGCAATCACACAAACATTGGAAAGCGCTGACGCTTGCTTCAACCAAAAAGCCACACATGCAGAACGAACAAAACATCTTGACCATCACCATGCACAAACCATGCACCCACAGATTCTCGGCCTCGACCAGTCCTGGTAGATCCTCATCCAAAACTCGTAGTCGTATGAGTGACAGTCAAAAATTGTTGCGGAGTTGTCATCAGGATTTGGTGAGTGTATTGTGGTTTCTCATGACATCATGTCCGTCATGTTATTCTTTTTGGTGGGTGTGTTACAGTTTTTGAGCGAAACATGCATATTGAACCCCCATGACCACTCAGAGACCATTTAGTCACGTTCACTCATTTTGAGCCTAGCTCATATGGCTGTAAGTGGTTCAACACCAGGATATCTTGGTTGACCTACCTGCCAGGTCAATCTACATGGTGGACTGGTCGGCCTGCAGCTTTGGATGCATTCCCCATTTCCTCGGAGCTTCGTGCATGGCTGGTTCATCACCGCTCCTTGTAACTCATGCGCCCTTCCGTGGTCGACATCGCGGCTGCACCGAGGGACTTCGACATCCAGCCAGCTGCGGAGGTGTCAATTTCTGCGCAGGGTGAACGGAAAGGTCTGGGCAATCCGTGAAGGAAGGACCGGACCCAAACCATCCATGTATGGAAGATATGGCTTCATTGACGCCGGAAACTACCCCCAATGTAAGTAAGGTTGGCCATACCTGCATGGTCTGGGAGAAGTTCCAGGAGGTGCTTTTTGAGTGCCATGGGGTGCCCCTGTCACATCTAAAGAAACGTAACATCCATTCTCATTCTGCGAATCAATCACCCCCAAGGCCCAGTGCGCGCACGCGGCACACGCTGCGCACGCCCGTCGCCCGTCGCACTTTTCACTTCCAGCGGTTGATTCCCAACCAGGAATGGCTCAGCTGCTAGGGAAAGCAAGTGATACGAGTATCAACCCCCAGGGACTTGTCAGGCAGCCACTACCATCCACAAGCGCCGCTTCAAATGAAACCGAAAGAATCCTTTTCATGACCGATCTCAATAGGGCTATGCGGCTAGACGTGGCTTCCCAAGAGGCAGGCCAAGGATTTGTCCGACCTACACCTTCCTGAAAGGATCTGAAAACCCCAGCGCAATGGCAACGAGACGACTGAAATGGCAGTGGGTCAAAACCTGGGCACCCTAATTGACCACCGAAAATGAACAGATTCCTCCATAGGGGATGTCAACCTTCGGTTTGGAAGAGGTTTTGACACAAAGCAAAGGTTATGAGATGTGGAGCCACGGCAGCTCAGTGCCGCCGAAAGTTGTGGCGATAAACGCCGGAAAGACATAATATGGTTCTCGGTCATTCAAAGCACTACGCACACGCGAGAAATACCACAAGTCTCCCAGCATCCATGCTTTCCAAAGAAACAACTCAACACATATTCATGGCAAAATCGTGGCGCCTTCTGACAGATGTTTTTGACCGAAACCATCCGAAACCATAGGCAGCGTACATTCACAAGCTCTGTTGTGATGGCACGCTGCGAGAACTACAGTGAAACATCACAAGACTCATAAACACGCACCCCGGGCGTCTGTGTTCAACAAAGCCACTGGGATTTCTGGATACATTCTCTCGAAGGCTGGACTCAATGACTCAATGCCTTGTTGACCTTAGAATGGCTTACCTATGGCCTCAACAAAACATTTGATGCCACACCAACTCAGCATAGAGACAAATACAGGATTAAAGCTACCGTCTTAAAAACTGACATAGAAACTGGATGAAACTGGTAGACTACCTTGATAAAGGAACATCATCTTCCACCTCTTACTGGCAGGCATACAAACAGCAGCTTTAGGCTTTATTCGGTTCTTTCTAAGCAAATACTCCCAGCCGCAAGGGTAACATCCTGATGTTGTAATCCTACCATTTCTGTGACCCAACCATTCCAGCCACCCATCACACCTTAAAACACCTGTAGATTCGGTCACCGAACCAGCCACCAAAAAACACCTCATCTTCTCTCCGATGCTGAAGCTCACCTTGACCTCATTTCTGACCAACTCTATCCCTCCAGAACCAAACCCTCCAGAAAAAAATAGAAACAAGGACAACTGGTCTCGCACATGGCGGTTTCTCCCGTGCCTCCTGTGCCTCCCAACAAACCTCGTGTTTCCACCCGCGCGGAGGTCTGGACCCAGCGACCCAACTGCTCCAACTGGTCTGGACCCGCGCTGGTCGAGCACTCCTTGCGGTCGACTCATCAAAGTGTGCACGCCGCCGTCGCACCTCCGCAAGGAAGACATCGCTTCCTTCCTGCACCGACGGGACATGGGGGGGGGCGGAGAGTCTGGAGAGGAGGGGTGCAGGTAAAAACAAAGAAACAAAGAAGCTTCAACTTGTTGAAGATACACTTTTCGCTAGGGTGGAACCCAGGATAACCCTGGAGTTGAAACAACAAACCAAAGGCGCTTGGAAAGTACCAGCAGCAAACCACAGGGTGGTTCTGGTATGGGCAGTTGGTTAGTGCTGAAACGTGTTGAATGCAATCCACGCCATGTCACCCCCCCTCCGCCATGCCACACCTCACTGCACTATGCCACTCTGCCACTCGTGCTGCACGCCCCCAAAAGGCCCATGGACCATCAGTCCTGGTACTTGTCTGATTTCTGGCTTCGCATGTGGAGTGCTCCCCCGGTCCATGAGGACAAAAGCCAACTCCCTGTGCTGTCACTGTCACTGTCGCCCTCTGACGGCTCCGGGAACAACTCCGCATCAAAGGATGGCTGGGGATCCTCAAGCTCCTCACGCGCCCAGTGGCTCCGTTTCGGTGGGGCTTCGTATGGTCGGAGAGGGAGGACATGGATCCATATTTGGAAGGGGTCCTGCCTCGAGAAGCGGGCTTTTTGTTTTTGTTCCATCTGAAGCTTTCCTCCAAGCCAAACTTCAATCTTCATGAAAGGCAACCCAAGACTTCAATCTGATTGCATGAGCCGCCCTCCCAAAATGCCATAAGGAACAGTCAGACTGAGTCATCGAGGTTTTCACCCCGGCATTTCGATCCTCAAGCCAATGAATCTCCGGCTTGCACGCGTTGATCCCGCTGATGTCGCATGTGGAAACAGAGCTGCGCGAGATGCCGCCTTTCAGGCGTCATGAGGTTTTATCTTCATTGGGGACACCAAGAGAATCCAAGAGACCAAGAGGTCTTTCAAACCCGGATCTTCCAACCGTGCAACATCTCTGATGAACTTGGCTGGTAGAAGTGGATGAAAAGGCATAACATTCTGCAGAAGGCAAGGAACATCTAGGAATAGCAACGCCCATCTGCACTTTCGAAACTTTCACTGTCATATACTTTCATGTACCCTTCATGCTTCGACGTTCAGATTCCATCAAAACAATGTTGACGTTTGCACCATGAATCAATGAAGGGAATCATTGATCCCAGAAGTTTAACAAAGCCACTATGGATCTTACTACCCGAGGATCAAAGATCCAATACCCTGGATGTAAACTTTGACTATGGATCTTACAGTACTGTGTATCCTATTTCCAGTTAGAAGAATAGGAAGAAAAGACACCTGGAGTGAGGACTGAGAGAAACCCCAGCCCTCCGGCCACTCTGTGAACTCTCCAGGGCTGAACCGGGGGAAATCTGTAAACGATGGAAACTGATTTTCTTTACGTTTAAGTATATTGTTCTTTGTAATTAGGCCTCGAGACCGAGACCCTGAATTCTTTTATTCTTGTTATTCTCTCCGTTCTGTTTAAACACTAGTCCGCTGGTCCGACCCTGAAGAGATTCCACTCCGAAACCTGCGGAGTCGAAACCCGCGGCATCGCCGATTAGCCAAAACATCGCAACATCCTTCGATGGAGTTCGCAACATCCTTCGGCCGAGGTCCAGCTGCCTGGGTGTTTGCTCACCGTTCTCCCCAGGAGCGGATCTTCGGGCTTGCGGGGAGACCGCAAGTCGCCCAGGCGACTGACATCAAATGCTAACGCCATGAACCGCCGTGGAGAAAGAACAAGTGAGGATGAAAACTAAACTTGAACCACATGGCAAGGCGAGACAAAAGGTACAGCGGTATACTTGCCCTTTGCAACATGTGCACATTTACTCCCGTACAAAATCCTACAGTGGATGCGTGGAGAAGTTTGTTTGCGCACCACCAAAGGGGACATGTCTTCAATCCTTTTTACCACACAAACACGCCTTCTACATCAGAATTTCACCCAGTCCCATTTCGGACAGGCTCTTTCACGTGTGCCACCCACTGCCCAGCACTGTCGAGACCGCTCAGTCCATCTCATGGAGCCCATGCGGTCTGAGAAGGCGACGGTCGACTCCGGTCCGGTCAGACCGACGAAGGCCATGGGGAGTTTGGGGGTGTTTTGGGGTGTCGTTTAGTTCTATTTGATGATCGTCATTATTATAGTTCTATTTATAGCCCCGAAGTGTCAGGTATCAAGGAGTGTCCAGTGTCCAACCACCCAAATCCCGGAAAGGGTCCTGGTACGCTCCAAAAAGTCACGCCCATGTCGACACTGCGCCCATGGACACCGCTCGAACCCTATGCGGTTTCCAGGCGCGAGTGATGATGGTCATGAGACCTCGACCAAAAGTGGTGTGAACATGATGTTGCTTTTCCAGATGAGTGATGGAGAAAGTCTCTGGTTAGACTAGACCTCAACCGTCCATTCATTCACCAGACCCCCACCTGAACCAGCGTCCAACTGGTCGGCACGAGTCGGACACGTTGACGAAGACCAGTCGGACGATCCGGGAGAAGACGACGAGCGAAAACCGGCGAAAACGGTCGGGTCTTTGGGTTCAGCTTTGGAGCGAATCGAACGCCCAACCTCGCCCCTGAAGAGCCATGGCAACGTAGAAGAAACGGAACACTGAAAATCATTGGGGACGGAACACACAGTTGAACACTCTTTGCGGAACACGAACATCTCCGCTATGAGACTCTTTCATTGCCCAATCTGCTACATGGTTTTTGAAACTTGTGTGCTCGAACCACCTGGTGATGGTCTCACCATGCGCCGAACCACCAGACCCGCCTCCTTTGGAAGATGTAGAGCGGTGTTTCTCCGAAGGAGATCCTTGGTGCCACATGACTCCATGGACCCCTTTCCCTGACCATCCCACAGCAAGTCATGTCTGTGCCAGCCGCCACTCCTGTGCTGAACAATACCCCTTTTGTTGCCCGCAGGGTTGCTACAATGACATTGGAAGGTGGGGCCGATCTTACTGGTCACCAGATCCGTATGGATCCAGCCCTATTTTCGGTTCCAAACCCAAACACCTCCTCAGGTGATCTCAGGTGTGGATCCTCTGGAGATTCCTGGACTGTCTATGTGCTTTACATTGCTTTACCGTCGCCATTGCCACAGCGACATCGACCCAAAAACACCCCAATGCGGGTACATATATGTAAGTATGCCTTTGGCACCTGAGTGGCCCCTGTTCTTGGAGCCGAAACATCGTCAATTCTTGTTAAAAAGAAGGGTCAAACGTGGGTTCTATAGGTGGCAGTCCCACTTGGTGTTATCAAACCCGCCACTCCCCACTCTTCTCAAGATCAGCGTCTCCAGTCGCACCACGTGCTGCGGGCTGATAGGTTCCAAACAACTGGGGGCAGCTTCAGTGCCCATGAAACAATGCCTGAGGCGCACCGTTTCGGGTGTCAACGAAGACCCGGTGACTGACCTGACCGGATGCCGCAGAGACCCGGCCGCCCAGCGACTGAACACCGGGCTGAAGAGGTTTGATGCACCATATTACCCTTGTTGCAACATCTTGCCAAGGGCCACAAGAACCATCAAAGGCTTGGAGTGTGACACATCTTTGCAATACACCGGTTGGTAGTATATATATATATATATACATATAAGTGGACCTTAATCGGTGATCTCTCTCGCTTGGAGTCAATTGTTTGTGCTTGATCCCACAATCTCCTAAAGGTTCCTGAGCTCTATAAGTGTATGAGCCGAAAACAAGCAAATACCTGACCCTGTCCATCGATGTGAAAGGTCGTCGTGAGGCCTCGACAAAGCTGAAGCAGCAAGGATTTCTGCAGTATTGACATCATAGGAATAGATTTCAAGTCTGTACTCTTCACACATGCGGCAGCATGAATGCCGTTTTCAGGCTGGCGGCATCGTTTCCGCCAGCAGGGATGAAATAGATTCAAGTCTATATTCAGCGATATTCCTGGTATCAGTCTGCTATCCACCCTGCTTTCGGTCGCCCTTGGCGCATGTTTGTCGTCAGTCCAGCCGTGAAACCACCGGTCTGGTGAGTCATTCGACAGATGGGTCCATCCGGTGTGTTGAAGGCAGCAGCGGCCTCGTCTATATAATGTAAGAAAACGCACAAGGGTTTGAACCGAGGAGCATGAGGATCACGTAGCTCCCAGGCTTCAACAGTTGGAATTTCGCTTCCAGCGCCTGAGGATGGAGGTGCTGTAGGACCAGAAAACCGCAAAGACTGGGAATGACACGGTGAAATTGCAAGAGCTTTTTTGCACCCGAGGGCATTGGTCACGCCAATTCATTTTGAGATTGGATTACAATAGCATGTCCAGAGCTCTGACAGCTTACCTTCAAAGCATGGGGGCTACTAATATGATTTGGGGGACCTGGTAATAGGCATCATGACTTCTGAATAGATAGCACAAAGCAAGTGGACCGCTTTCAATCCACCCGAGAAGACAGACCGTCGACTTTGGTGGGGTCATTTCGGGAGTGGAACATGGTTCCACTCCCCAACAGCGGAAAACGCCCACGACTGGATGTGCGGAACAACATCATCAACATCTCAAAACAATTCAACACATATACCCCCCAGGGATCAAGGATTCACACAGGATCACCGACTGGGAACATCAACACCTGGAGCTCTGGCAGAAATTCCAGCTCAGTGCCAGGGTGTAATACTCCGTCGCATCGTCGTTCCAAAAGAGGATGCGAGTGACTTTTCTCGTTCCGAGACATCAAGTAGCGATGCACTGATGCACTTATTACTACCAGTCATGGCTTCTTAGCTACTTGTAGCGATGCCCGAGCTACTAGTACGTAGCGTCTTTGCACTGAGTCTGTGTTTTCCAGCCTGCATCATCTCCTCCGGGAAACACAGGGACATCGCAAAGACCACTGTGGCATCAGACCAATCCTGGAGGAGGGCTGCACGAACGGAGAAACCTGCCCCAAGAAACACCGAAGTGTGCTCAAGAACAAGCGCTTAATTGAAGAAGTCGGTTTCACATAAGTGTAAACATCCAGCACCAGCCAGTCTGTATAACAGCTTGATGATCAACTCACACATCCCGTGGGGGGAAGGTCTGTTAAACCACCCCAACTGTGCGGTGCGGTGCTGGAGGGATTCTGAACCTATATCAAAAAATACCATGGATATACAGGATGCATGGACCAGACTGGAAGACGATCTTGTCAGCTTCCCCACCTCTTTGGAGACCGGGGCCCGACTGGTCGTCGGTGACTGACAGAAGAACGACACAACGGTCCGGGCTTCGCTGCACCGGGGCTTCGCTGCGGGTGCATGGACCCTGAGAGACTGGACTAGTGACCAGGAAGGTCATCAGGGTGCAGAGGGCTCCAGGCTTTGGACTCAGCCATCTCATTCCAATTCAACTCGTCTCCTCCACCAAGAAGTCCCCACACACCAGCCGCAGCGGCGCAGTGCTCGAGGACCTCCCCAGCAGCTTCGCTGCAGCGGCTTCTGCGGCAGCGTGGAGGGAGGGAAGAAGTTCGATGCCAAGCACTTCGCGCCTCAAAAACGACGAAAAACACCGGCAAAGTCGGTGGATCTGTCAACCCCACTGAACCTCAAGTCGGTGTGTTTAGTTTTATTGTTTTTTTCGGTTCGAGGCTCCAGTCTTCGTTGCACCCGTACAGGACAGTCGGACATCAGACGGACCGACATTGGATCCAATTCGCCGAACTTACAATGTTTAAGTCAAACGTAACAAAACCAATGACACTCAAATACACTCAAGAACAATCCGCTTTATCACCCAGATGCAAGATCTCTGCAGACGTTCTTGCTCTATGTCTTCAAGATGGTAACGCATTAACGCTCTGTTTGGAGAGGCCGGCCAGTTAATTGAAATCAAATTCACCAATGGCGTGGCTCCTTGTTTTTCTTTGTTCACACAGCCATGCCGCATGCATCCGCACGTACATCCTGCACATCCTCCGAAGACATCTACAGGACTGGGCTCTCACAGCAGCTGCCGTGTTGCAGTGCCAAGACGTGGCGGATGTGCATTTGTATGCGGGGCAGGAAACCCCGTGTATATTTATATATATACCCGTTTGGGGAAATGACACTTTGTGGACACTTTGTGAAGGATCTTTCAATAGTATCCCTTGTACAAACTGTTCTGGAGAAAACCTTCCTGAATGGTCTTTAAAGTGACAAAATAAGAGCCTTGCAGCACCAAGATCTTTTCAACAGGTTGCCCGCGCCGGAACACTCCAGCTTTTCCGAGTTGCACAAAGGGGAAACCCAAGGCAGCTGCCAGCACCACCCGGCCTGTGCCGCTCCCCAGATCGACGATGAGGTCCTCACACCGGTTCCGCGAAAAAAGATCGGTGCCACTGAGTCACTCGAAATTGGCCGAAAAAAACATCGACATCCAACTCTGTAGGTCTTTGGGGTGATATCATCGACATCCATCTCCGAAGATCATAGGGGTTTGAGGCTAAGATGCTTGCTATTTCCACTGGCAGGCTTTTGTAGGAGGCCTCCACCGAAGAAGTTGAGGTCGTAGATTGTGTTTCATGCACGCTATAACGTTATAACACTCAGGACCCTAAGGGAGTGTTACTGATGAAGGTACAAGACAAGATCAGTATATCTCCAATATGCGTCACGATGGAATGGTAAGGCCTTCTAGCCGCAGTAGAATTTCAGGGTTTTAGCCTGAACATCCATGGACCACGGAAAATACACACAGGTTCTTTTGTGAACCTGCGAAAAACAACATCGAAAAACTTATCATCTCAACACCAGATGTTCTCAAACCTCCAAACACCACCGGCCACCACAATGAACACCCCCATTACATCGTCCAACAACCCCGCACACTCGTCCTGTGGACCCACCTGAGGCGGGGTGAGGAATGATTCACCGGGCCAGTGTATCCGTCGAAAAGAGCCGAACAACATCTCTGGGATGGTTCTAGTCCCGTAGTGGGTCACTGTTCATCAGTGGGTTAGAATGGTTAGAAGGTCGCAGCATGTCGTAGCTGACGTGCACGCGGGAGCATGAACACTTCAGGGCCATGTTCCATTTTCGAGCAATTAAACTGGAGAGCCGTAGGTAGCATGCTACGCTTTCAAGCCTCCATGAAGCACCCAAATTAGCCCTGGTATCTGGTTGGTTCTTTCATGGGCATGACTTGCAATGACCCATCAGCAAAACAAATTGTCCATACTTCCTCTTAACCAATTCAACCCAGTTGTGCCACAGCTGTGGGGGTAAACATCATCCTCGCGGTTATGTAAATAACATTAAACAACTTCACGCGTCAGTTCTGAAAGACCATGAAAGACCTTATACACACCTCACACAACAACAGCGACAACAACGACAACGATAACAGCAATGACAACGACAACAGCAACGACGACAACAACAAGGACGACGACCACGACGACGATCACGACGACGACGACGGCGGCGACAATGACCAGAGACAACCACACGACAAGGACGACCACGACCACGACCACGTGAATGACAACAACCACAACGACAAGAGGTATATGCAATCATCTTCAAGACCTCACCCTTCTGCTCCTGCAAGCCCCACTCCACCAAAGTCACTGCCTTCGAATCCATAGATTGACACTTTCTTCGAATTGGTGCCAAAATCAAGCACATTCCTGCCCCATGCAGTCTGGGACATCAACTCACACAACTCTTGCAACATTGTTTTCTGCATGCTACACAGCTTCTTCCCGAGATAGCGGGAGCTATCGGGGTTTCTGGCTGCAGGGTGCCGCCGCTGTGTGTTGCTGGTGGTGATTCCCAGCTGCATTTTTGGCTTTCGGCGAGGACGTTAAATGGCATTCTCCATGTCTGGCGCCGGCCCCGCGATGATGGTGAGATGGCTTTGGGCGTAGGGGCAGGTGCTGCCGCCAGCGTCAGGGTGGGATCGCCACAGAGCCGCTGCAGTGTGCGCTTGGGAGCTTGGGTGCTGGTGCCGCTGCTGTGTGCACTTGGAGCTTGGATGCTGGTGCTGCTGCAGCGTACATGAAACCAGTACAAAAGCAGGACTGAGAGGTGGCCTTCTTCTCATCTGTGTGGAGCTCAGGTGCTCGATACATCCGGTTGTAGACAGCACCTGGACTTACTGGCAAGGTTCGACTTTTTGTGTGCAAGCGGGCGCTGAAGCCGAAGTCACACAACTTCAACACTCCATCAGCAAGAATCATGTTGTTGGGTTTGACATCCAAATGAGCCACAGATTTTGTGTGGCAGTTCACTAGGCCACTAGCAGCTTGGGTGTAAAAGTGTTTCCTCTGGTGGAGCATAGATGGAGATGGTGCATCTGCCAAAGGTGTCGCTACAATGAAGTCCAAAACGCTGGATTGGCCAAGCTCCAACACTATGCCCACATTGTCCTCATGTGTGATCAACCCATAGCACTGCGCAATGTTTGGATGGCATGCCAATGATGGAAGTAAACCTCTCTGCGCTGGTGCCGGTGCAGGGTGCTGCTACAGACCACTTCAGTCTTCATCTCCACTTGTGCAAACCGCCTGCCAACCCAAAGCTCTACATCGCCGAGTTCGCGCAGGCGCGGCGAACCAAAAAACACGGTTCCAAAGGCTGAAAAGCGCAAGGCTGGTGCTTGTACAGGTTGAGCACTTCCGGTCTCCTTGCCGCATGCGCCATTGAACTCGGCTGGAGCCATGTCGCATTATCTCCAAAGTTTGGCAACTCATCTTTGTTGAATTCCAGCGGGGGGGGCCTACAGGCCATTGCTTTTCGCTTCCCCCCCGCCCCCACGTTCGTCGTCGCTGCCCCGCAATAGTGGAGTCCGGCAGGCTGAGCTCGATGTCAGCTGCCCTTCGCAACCATCTCATCCATCGTCTCAGCGAAGTCACCGCCTCTACCACGGTGTTGGCCTCCTGAGGGATCACCGTGTTCTCGTGGATTCCTCCAGGCTGGTACAGCGTCATCAGCTTCGCATGAAGTCGCCAGCTCTTCCTTGACTGAGGCAGGGATCGCCGCCGTCATCATCGACACAGCTCTTGTCTCCACCCTCGTCCACTTTGATCTCCGAAGCTCAGCTGCAATTGCTGCCTTTACGGGACTGTTTTTCGCCTCAGTACAACAACAGCATGATCATCATCGTCGTTATCATCAACAGTAGCAACAACAACATCAACAACGACATCAACAACGACATCATAAACAACAACAACAACAACAGCAACAACAGCAACAACAGCAGCAACAACAACAACAACAGCAGCTACAACAAGAAACAAGAACAAGAACAAGAACAACAACAGCAACTGTATCAGTATCATAATCAACAACAACAACAACAGCTACAACAACAAACAACAACAACGACAACAACAACAACAACAACAACAACCAACAACAACAACAACCACGACAACAACAACAACAACAACAACAACAACAAGAAACAACAACATCAACAGCAACAACAACAACCACAACAACATCAACACCTAGGACTATAACGATAATTTTTGCTTTCCGCCTACCACTCGGATCGCTGTCATGTTGTTGTTGATGATGATGCTGCCGTTGCCGTTGCCGTTGTGGTCGGGCCGGATTTCAATGTGGAGGCCGCAAAGCGGCAACAAACCAATTTGTAATTAGATGCATTGGCGGCCACAAGCGCTGTCTTCGGCAATCGCAAATAGCAAAATGTTGTTGTTGTTGTTGTTGGTTGTTGTGGTTGCTGCTTTGGGGCTTGGGCGTTGGTGCCGCTGCAGGCTGCTGCTGATGCTGCTGCTGTCTGCACTTGGGGACTTGGTCGTTGGTGCGTGCGCTTGGGAGCTTGGATGTGCGCTTGGGAGCTTAGGTGCCGCTGCTGGTGCGCTTGGAGCTTGCGTGCTGGGGCGCCGCTACCAGATGGTGTGGCCGTGTGCGCTTTCGTGCTTCCTCTACACGCAAACGCAAGTACCGGCCACTTGCCGGAATAGCATATAGAGACCCGGACCAAAGTAGCGGATGAGATTTGCCTTCCATGTCGCGCTGCGCGCTCACGACATGTTTGCATGTGAGTAATGGCGTCAACACCGACAGAGTTTTAAACATGAGCCTCCGGGTTCAAGTACATCCCGGCGTTATTACCTCCCAGCGTATGCCCTTCAGAATCGGATTCCCTAAAATCAGTGGAGGAACTCAGTTCTTGCTGAGAATGGAACAACTCAGTTCTTCCATTCTGAAACCGCCCCGCCCAACACGTGGCCAATACGTCCAAACGCTCCGACCTCCAAACGTTGCAACAGCTCCAGCACCGGCACGAAATGGCTCTCCCCGTAGGTCAGTGCCGCGCCAGCATGGCCTCCACTGACCAATCACAGCGGTCGACCGAGCCGGCGTGGCCCAACCGGGCTCGGTCCTTCCCATCGAATCCACCGCCCCGTTCTTTTTTTCAACACCTGGATCGGTGGAATTCTGTGGGATTGGTTTCTACCATCTTTGGGTTTAACTTTGATCAACATTGATCAAAGTAGTAGGCGCAGCAAAGTCCCTAGCACCACCACCGTCTTGACAACTGGGTGGTGCGTAGGGCGTAGGGCTGGTGGCCAAGGCTCCGTTGCGGCAAGACCGAGTGATTTTGGTCACCCTAGTCTAGATACGGAGTAGTCCTAAAGATTGGAGACATACTGTAGGAGGTGAACCTGCCAACGAGGGTGCAGATAGAGTCTAGACTGGTTGGTACAAAGTATCACTATGTAAGTCTTGATTTCTCCATGACTTCTCCGAGGCAACTCGACAGGACGCCCGACAGGACCTGAAAAGGAAAAATCCCATCGACATGGACCGTTCCGCGGAGTTGACCGAGTCGAGGATGATCGATCAAAGATCTAGCTGCCAGAGGGGTATGGCGATCGCCCCACCAAAAAGTTGTCTTATATAAGTCTTCCCTTTGTGATGGACGACGACTGAAAAAGGAGACGGCACGTGATGCTTCAGCTGCTTCGGTCTGTTTCAAGGGGTAAAACCTGGTGGATATGCTTCAAAGCACTACAAATTGATTGAAATCCCGCATAGCAATTTGTTGAAATTGCATTCCTCCACCATTTGGATCTTTTGTTCCTCAAGCAGCCTGCACAATGCCTCGACAACACTCTCGACAACATACAGCAATCAATCGCTCCTCAATCAATCACCTTTGTTCTGCCAACTCAACCACCCCCAAAAGACTCACAGCCCTCAGAGACAAAACCCTTTCAACTCAGGGAGAACGCTGACCATGTCTGACCAAAACTGTTTCGACGAAACTCGAACCCGCGACCAAGTCCTCTGCTTTCAAAGGACAGCTGATAGCCATCGATGGACTCGTAAGCCTGGTAAAACTCCTGCAGATCCGGAATGACGTGGCCGATGAGGATGAGGATAGAGCTATCCTTGAGAGCTATGCTGGTGTTACTCATGACTCATGACCCCCACGGTTCCCTTTCTTGCGCCCTGAGGCTCCATCTGCTGACAAGGTAGTTAGACACCTTCTCAGCAAATGATTGGAGGTGTATGGATGTCATATGCATGAGATTGACTGACCGAGGAGTACGCTTCACCGTTCTGTTTTGAACTCCAATATTCTTTCTGGGACTGGCCAGTGGAACTAGACGATCTAGGCATCTAAAATTCCAAAGGCACCAACGACGGTGATCATTAGGTTCCATGAGTACAGTTCATTGAACAGTTCCAGTACAGTTCCATCATTAGGTTCCTTCATGCTTAGTACAGTTCATGGAAGCTTCAAGGCAAGCCCAGGTTTCACCTGACTAAGCATGGATGTGCATGGCTGCCAGGCCGACTTGTCAAACCGAGTCCCGAGCTGCTCATCCCCGACCGAGCTGAACCAGCTGCTAGTTACGTTAAAGCAAGAAGGAAAGGGCTGTTGCCCTCCCATTGTGGTACGTAACTATACGCCTTTACATACAGTATGTTCATCTTGTCCTAAGCCGCACATCCCAAACAGCCCAAATACCAAACAGTGGTTCGGTCTGAGTGTCACATCCCAAAAAGGATCATGGTCAGTTCCACACATCCAGTCCGTCTCATGGAAGATTCATTTGTCATGGTTTAATGTTAGACTGATTAATACCTCCCCTACCATGGGAGGGTAGAACCACCTACCTCCGCCAGGGTCTGACACATCAAGAGACCGGTTGGGTCGGGTCGAACGTCGCTGCGAGCGACTTTGGATGGCAACACCCATGAACCACCGGGCCGGTCCGGTCGAATGCGGCCGGTGTCGAAGCGAAGGACCGCATGGAACACCACGGAACCCCAAAAAACTGGCTCCTCGGTTGAAACCACGGGTTTTCCTTCTCAGGGTCCATGTTAGTCCTGTCTGCGAAAACAACTTCTCCTCATACGCAGCTCGTAGGTGAGGCGCAATCTCCTCTGATTCGCCCGCGATCTACGACTGCACGAGGTGCGAGCGGTCGAAGATCTACCACGAGAGACGAGAACCCGGTCTTCGTTATAAATATGAACAAAGAGCGCATGTCGTCTTGCTTAATCTTTCATAACTTGCCCATATATACATTATATACCCAGTCTTCCAAGTTACCCCCCAAAAAGAGCCCAGCAAATGTGCAAAGCTGCAAGTTTTCGGGGTGTATTGTTCCAACTCCATGCACTAGCCGGCTGCCGATGAACCGAAGTGGTAGCACTTCATATCAAACGCTTTCCAAAACGTCCAGATCATCCACATTTGGGTACCCTCTTACTCATTGGTCAAGGAATCAGAACAACACATATATATATATATAATGTTACCTCTTAAATCCGTCAGGTGGTCCGAAGCACGCCCCCTGTCAGAAAGAACACATGAAGCTGAAGCAGCAAGAAAAGATCGGTCGTTTGAAGCAGGCTAAATCCTTATCATAAGAAAACATCTGAACATCTATTGAAAAGTGCATCCTCCCACAAATCCCTTACTTCTATCCTTGGAGCGCCGTAGCCACAGCATGCCACAGCCACAAAAACGAACCCTTTATCCATCCATCATCATCTATAGAATTCTATAGATATCTTAATGACCCACGTCTGCACTGAAAGAACAACTCCCCTGGCCTCCACCTCCGGGATGAAGCACAAAGAGTCTTCCAGGTCCCATCCTATTCGGCCACAGCCGGGTAAGGTCGGTTCCAATGAACAGAGAGCCTGAAAAAGACAGATTCCAATGATTGTGATGAACACCCTTAGACCTGCCTCTTCTTTGAACCTTTTTATTTGGGGGAATCTGGATGGTTTTCATCCCTCGCATTGCTAGCCCTCCTCACATGTTCTGAACACAACTCAACGGTCAAGTTGACTGCTGAAGCCGACGTCGAGTACAACCCCTTCGTCAAACGAAGGGAGCGCTCAAACACATTGTGGTGATTTCGGTCCTCATTGTGGTAACTTCGGCAGCATGCAGGTTTGTATTGAGTTAATTGTCCTTTGACGTTGCGAGACATCCAGCAACAAACCGCAGCAATTCACGTCCCAAACACTTCGTAAATACCGTGGCTTTCCCCAACCCCAAACCTTCCCCAAACGCTTCATGGTGGCGCAAAAATGGCCTACATTCATCACCCAAAAACACCAGTCATGTAGGCCATATTTGCCTGTGGAGCATCTGGGCTTGGTGGTGCCATCTCTCTCGTTCGACCGCCGATGATTCTCCTGCTTCGAAACTCACCCCCAGGAACTCGGGCGCGCCCTCTGGCAGCTGCAAGGAAAAGCGGGTCTCCGTGTGCGGCAAGAAGCACAAGGTGAGCCAGGCACTCTGGCTACTGAAGACCCAATACCTGAGATCAACTTGGATCAGTCTCAGGATCCACAAAGAACTGAGAAGTTGTCGGGATCTCAGGTGGCTTAGATCAAGATACATCAAGGAACTTTTGGATCCCAAAGGTCTTGGTCTCAGTAAATCCTATGCTCAACATCTCATCCAAGTCCACAAGGTTAGTCTATGGAACCAGGGTTTCGCTTGGTCGGGCGACGGTTTGAGTCTTGGGAACCGATGGTTTAGTTGTAAAGCCCTGTGCATCCAGTTTGTGAGGGATCTTGCTGAGACAAGCACCATTGGAGCTATTAACTTTCAAAGCTCGGGGCCCCCCGTCGACTGGATGATCCTTCACATGTCGCAATCCCCCCAGCTTGTGAGAAAATGGAGGAAATCACCAGTCTCCAGTTCCGAACTCGTCTCATGGTTCCAAAGATGGCAGCTCATTTCGATCCGTCTGATTTCTTGGAGGCTTTAAGGGTTGAAGCCACATGACGATGTCCACCGGCAGAGAAGTCGGGGCATGTCGAGGCAACTTGAGGCTTCATCCGGAACAGAAACGCGGTTTTCGACGAACTTCAACCAATCAAAGTCCTTATACCATAAGGTTTTCTAATGGAATGTTTACAGTAGACTTTTGGCAAGTTCGGGACTGCCCAATCGAAGGGGTTCAGCACCTGAAGGCAACTTTTTCACATTCAATTCAAACCCAGCGTTGTCAAAAATGTAAGCTGGAAAGAAACACATTGTGACTATGTTCAGTGGGCCAAAGATCCTCAGCGCGTGCTCAGAACGGAGGAGTTCCTGGCAAAAGGTTGCAGCAGTTCAATGGTAGGCCATCTTATCCCCTTCAGGCTTGCACTCCAGCAGCGGCAGAGGTGAGAAAAATCCTCCCTGTTCATTGTGTTCCCCAGCAAACCTTCAACCACCCTGAGCCATGGAATCAAGGAAACCCACGTCGTGGTTCCGTGGTTCCTTTGAGTATTCCTTGACACTAATGTGTTTCACGCCTCCCACCTTAAGGGCGTTTGGGACCTGCTTCCCGCTCAAGTGGCTGACATCCACATCAAGAGTGACTGTGGCAGCAGCAGGACCACCAGAAGGCTGTGTCTTGCTGATGTAGGTGGTGACATATAGTATATGGCACTGCGAGCAGATTTTGCTATGTTGGCAGGGATGTCCTGCAGAAAACTCATTCTCCAAGGCTGGGGCGTGTAGCAGGACAGAAACATCATGGTTGCATTTGGCTACAGCATGCTGAAACGAATCTGGCTTGGATAGTGGTTTGGATGATGCCGCCTTTGCGGTAGCAAAGAACGCAGGAAGGGAGGAACGTCACCCACGGATGTTTCAGCAAGAAGCAGTAGCCCATGGCATCAATCACATGTGTGTGGCTGCGTCCAAACACTGACATCGCGCCAATGCCAATAGCCGAGTGGCAGTCGCAAGGAAAACTTCGTGCGTTGGTGGTCCAAAGTCGGCTTTTCGTGGCAAGCGCAAGAGATCGATTCGGCTTTACTTCGATGTGCAGATTAATATAAAATCTGGCTGGCGCAACGCATGGTCTTTGGCGTGCTCTGATTGCGTGGCATGTGCAGTGAACCGGACATGTGGCTCGTTTTCAAAATTGGAGGAAATCTCGAGCGAAAACTGCACTTGGCATCTTGATGTTGTCTTTGGAGGTGCTCTTGCTGCGAAACGCCTTGGCAGGGCTGCGCAAGGTCAAGTCATGATGCGCAGATGTCGTGGCAGGCGCAGTACAGTGTGGACCTTGAAACGCAGATTTTGTGGCAGGCACAGCGCTTGGTAGTGCAGATTTCGTGGCAGGTGCAGTACTGTGTGAACCTTGGAGAGCAGGTTTCGTGGTGGACCTTGAAGTGCAGATTTCGTGGCAGGCGCATCGCTTGGTGAAAGTGGAAGCGCAGAGGTCTTGGCGGGCGCAGCGTTTTGTGGACCTTAGAACCTTGAAGTATGGATTCCGTGGCAGGCGCAGTGCACTGTTGACCGTTGACCTTGACGTGCTGATTTCGTGGAAGGTGCAGCAGCGGTTCTCTCTCTTATGTATGTGCTCCCATATGCGCGGTCTCATGTGCGTGTGCTCTTACATGTCCTCTCATATGTGTATGCTCCAGACCTCCTGCGCTCCAATCCTCTAGACATCTCTCTCCGCCTCTAGACGACCTCTTGATATTTCGGATCTCAAGACAACCTCTAGACCTTGATCTTGGGCGCCGGGGGCCGTGGCAGGCCGGTGGTGGTGCCGGGTCACGAGTGACCAGTAGGGTGGCAGCTCTCTCCGGGGGGTCATGGTGATGATATAAGCTTGGCCCTGGCGTGTTGGAGCTCGGCTTGCTGGCTTTGGAGGTGGCGTAAGGCGCTGCCCTCGGCAGCGGCTGGAGCGCTTTTGACTCCTACATGTTCGTCCCTGCGCGCGAGCTAGCAGAGAAACCCATGGACCCAGATTCAAAGCGCGCATTCCTTTAACATATACAAGCATAGACCCCAAACAGCTTCAAAACGATTCGTTTAGACCAATATTAGTCAAACATGGATTTCTTGGTACGCCCTACTTTCACCCCAAGAGCAAACTGCTTCATCAACGAACTTTTGTCGGCATTGACATCGCTATTTGTTCGGCCACACTCCTCTCCAGCAAGCCGGGCCACGGACCCACAGAGTTCAGGGGCGCGGCCAAGACAAGGACAAGAGGAGGACAAGACCCGGACACAGAGCCGGGCCACAGAGCCCAGCCACAGAGTTCAGGGGTGCGGCCAAGACAAGGACAAGAGCCCAGCAAGCCGTCCATAGCACACGCTCGCCCTGCTCTCTCTGTCTGTCTGTCTGTCTGTCTGTCTGTCTGTCTGTCTGTCTGTCTCTCTCTCTCTCTCTTTCTTTCTTTCGTTCTTTTGTTCTTTCTTTCTTTCTTTCTTTCTTTCTTTTCTCTCTCTCTCTCTCTCCCTCTTTCTCTTTAAAGTTTCTCTTTCTCTGTCTTTCTCTCTCCAAACGCGCTGTGAGCGCCTTTCTGGAGCGTATTTCAGAGCGCGCAGAGCGCGCCGTCCTAAGCACACGAGCGCGCGCCGGCTCGCCCTGCTGTCTTTCTCTTTCTTTATTTCTTTCTTTCTTTCTTTCCTTCCTTCCTTTCTTCCTTCCTTCCTTTCTTTCTTTCTGTCTCTCTCTCCCTCTCTCTCTCTCTCTCTCTCTCTTTCTCTTCAAGTTTATCTTTCTCTGTCTTCTTCTCTGTAGAGCGCGCTCTGAGCGCGCCTTTCTGGAGCGTATGTCAGAGCGTGCGCCACAGAGCCCAGCCACACAGAGCCCAGCCACAGAGTTGACAGAGTTCAGGGGCGCGGCCAAGAGGAGGACACAGAGTTGACAGAGCCCAGCCACAGAGTTGACAGAGTTCAGGAGGACAACGCCTGGCCACGGAGCCCAGCCACAGAGTTGACAGAGTTCAGGGGCGCGGCCAAGAGAAGTACAAAGGAGGGCAAGGCCTGGAGTGTGGCGTGGCCAAGAGGAGGACAAGAGGAGGACAAGGCCCAGCCACAGAGTTCAGGGGCGCGGCCAGTGAGTGTGGCCAGCTCTTTTCTTTTTGAGATAGAACCCAACAGTAAACAGTTTGGGGAAAAACTACTTTCGTGCCTTAAGGACCTTCGACTTGGCCTTCACTCTAGGCTTCGCCTTTACGGCGGATACCCAACAGCCTCGTCGTCCGCCACGGCGCTCAGGCAATGTGGCTCCAAATCAGAAATGGACCAAATATTATTGAAACTCGTCGTCGTACGGGTGCAATACCGAAAACGCTCCAACCCCAGGCACAAATGTGCAATATATTGCAATATATAGTCACGACTTCCCCGTGGACTTGCCAGTCCGGAAGCGTGTAAGTTTCCCTGTGGTCAAGAGCCAACATCATTTCAACAATGTCGCCAAGGTTAGGCTTATTCGTCATGCCTGCTTCAACAATTTCCGGCGCCAAAATGCGGATCACAGCGGAATAAAGATCGTTACCGCACTCGTGGTCCAAACTGGTGGGTCAGTCCCAGTGCTTGGAGACCTGCTCTGCGGGCCTCAGGAGAACCAACTCTTCCATCACAGAGTCAAACGCCAATGCGTGACGCGGCCACCACATGAAGACTCCACGCAATGGAATTGTTTCCATGCACACATTTGTTCTTCTGCCAATGCACTTGCGTAGTGGTGGCGATGTAGCGTCAGGACCGATTAATTGTCTACCTCCTGTGCCCGCCTCCGTCCCTTCGCGGACGACCCAGCGGCCATCGTCGAACTCCAGGACGGCCTCGTTGCTCCTGGAGGTCAAGTTGCCCACGCAGCTATATAGGTAACAAGAAGTGAGGTGCGTACTTGTTCCATGCCTAGGGCCAAGCCTCGCTCCCCTGGAATATCGGCATTTGCTTTGCTTGGCCATCTACCCATGCTTCGTTGTGAAAGCCTGCGCACTGGACAGTGGAGCCGAGTGGAAGCAAATCGAACAGTATAGCTAAATGCATCCGTCTCGTTGTCGATGTCAGACATCGCCAATTCGGTCTTGTTCAGTTCTCCAAGGCAAATGTCCATCACGCTCCCCGGCCTATCAGGTGAGTCCCAACAAACGCACAACTTCCAAGTGGCCGTTCTCCGCCTTGAGCAGCAACTAGAACTCTGGAGCTCCCGATCTCTAGGGCGTCTAGACCTGTTTGGTTCTCAAGACCTGCCCGAATCTCAAGACCGGATCTTTAGACCTCTAGACCCCTCTACCTCCAGACCTCTAGATCTTGAGACCTCTAGATTTCCAGACCTCTAGACCTAAAGCTCCAAAGCCTCTACGCTTCTGGATCTCTAGACCTCTAGATCTTCTTGGATCTCAACACCTCCCTGCATCTCACGACCTCAAGGCTATAGGGGCTCCAACTTCTCAATGGTGTGGCTCTGGATCGGCGTTTTGGTTTTCCAGGCGCTGCTGCCGTGCTGATGCTGGTGCAGGTGCAGGTGCTCTGGATCCG